CCAATGCCAGTTACTAGTTAAGTTTAACAAACCTAACATATTTTAGCTCGCTTGTAATCACGCTTATGCAGCAAATAAATATTGTAAATATTTACGTTTATAAGTTCAATAACTTCACATATTGTATTTATGCTTATGCAGCAATATGTGAAATTTAAATTATTATTTTAGTCACCAATAATTGTAATTATTATTATGCTTAGTAAGTAATTCTATACTATATAAGGTAACAATATTAATAATAAAATTTGAAAGCGAAAACAATCGTCTTTACTTCACAATCAAAAATTGGTTATTGGTAGATGTGCCTTTTAACCACTGTAGAAACAAAATAAAAATTATTTACTTACTTGGCTAGCGGTTTATGTGCCTGCAAGCCTTTCATCTTAACTACCTGATTATTGGTTTATGTGCCTAATAGTCAGTGTAACAAAGTAAGCAAATACAGACATTGATACCACCTCAGATTACGTGGTATACATTGGTGACCCCGACGTGATTGGCAAGAGCAACTCAGTGTGAGCCAGCAGCGTTTACAAAAAACCTTCATTGAAAACAACTTCAACGGAAATACAATAACCATGGATCCAAAATCAATATCCACTTTAACTGACCAGCAGGATTCAATTGGTTCAGAGATCGACAGAATCATTCGCAACTTCCAGAAGGACTCACCCAGCAGGAAAACACGTCAATATCTCGAAGATCGTAAAACAACTTTAGAACAGTTATTAGCTGACTTCAAGGCTAATGATGAGCAACTACAACAAGCCGATGTACTAGCAAGAACATCGGACTATTTCACACAAGATTACGGCATGGTAATCATAAATTTGGGTAACAAATATATCACCACAATAACTCAAGAGCTGGAAGCATTACCCATTAAGGCTCAACCATCAACAATAAAGGGGTTGGATCTTCAGATAAATAATGATGTTGAAGCTCCTGAAATAGTATTACCTACTGGTGGTCAAGAGAATGAAATTATTCAGGCATTAGTCAACAGACGAAATGCAGTGTGTAAATCAATCAATCGTCTCATCCACAATGTGAGACAAGATAACCAGCAACAGGTACCACAATATTTTGCAGTAAAATTAGCTACGCTTACCAAGTTATGGGATCAGGCTGAAGGTTTAAATTTTACTATTCAAGAACGGCAAGACAACCCTTCTGATTGCAATCATTATCTAGCACTTGAACAATTGGTGCAAGATACAATGGTGGAATGGACTAGTAAGTCGACCAAGATTGAGACATCAATTAGGTCAACTTACCAATCATCGGCTACTTTGCCAACAATATCTCTTCCAAAGTTCAGTGGAGATTATTTGAGTTGGCGACAATTCAGTGATCTGTTTGCACAACTAATACACAATCAAAGAATATCAGACTCACAGAAACTCTGGTACTTGAAAACCAATATTCAAGGCGAAGCTGAAGCACTCATCAAGCATTTGCAAATATCAGATGCAAATTATGAGACGGCATGGCAATTACTACAAAGTAGATATGAGAATAAAAGAGTTCTAGTATCAGCAGTTTTGCAACGTTTGACAGCTCAAACCTCTTTATATGACCATCCAACAGTCCAAGCCATTAAAAATATGGATGACACAACAAAGGAAAGTCTATGTGAACTTCATAATTTAAATATTGAAACATCAACTTGGGATCCAATTTTAGTTCACATACTATTAAAAAAGTTGGATAAAAATACACATTGCAGTTTTGAACAAACTCTTACTAACCCAAGGGAGATGCCCACAATAAAACAATTCTTAGAATTTTTAGAATTGAAATTTCAGGCACTTGAGGCTATAGGTCTACGAGACAATGCAGTATATAAACCCAACAAAAGGATAGCCGTAACTATGGTTTGGTCAGATCTATGTAACGTTTGTAATACAGATAAACATCCGATCTACTATTGCAAAAAGTTCATTGAAATGACTCCTCCTGAACGATTAAATTGGATTCAACGACAAAAACTATGTGTGAATTGTTTCAAATCCGATTGATTAATTTTTGAAATGAAAGAGAAATGCTTTCGCTAGAGTATCAAATTGAAAACTGATTTTATTTTGAAAATTATTCTCTATTTATACAAAATTGTCTTAACATAACTTAACTACATTTACAAATAAGGGTTGAAATAATTTGTTGCCTGTTATCAGTTATTTTAGTGGACTGTATAATTTTAGTTGCATTTTATTGCTGTCGCAAAGGTTCATAACAAAAGGGATACAATAAAATTCTGGCACGTAGGATTTTTATTATTTTACAATTATATTTTTATTATCGATACGGTGCCATGTATTTTAAAATGTGTTTAATATTCTACAATATCTTTAGTTTTGGGATTTTTTTATTACCCGTGTTTTTTCCTTCTTATATAATTCTAAGAATTTAAACGATAACATACATAAAAATAACTATAAATTTAGGCACATCCTGCCAGCGTTTGAAAAAAGATACAATTTTTAATTTTAATAGTTTTAGGATTGTATGTCCTAAAATAACATGTTCATTATTGAACATATTGCCAACGCTTTTATTAAGACAGAATGGCTTAATATAATATAAATATAAAATTGAATATTAGTTTAATTAAAGTAAAATATGTTCATTATTGAACATACTGCCGCGCCTTTATCAAGGCGGAACGGCTTAATATAAAAAGTCTATTAAATATAATATAAAGGTTTAATATGCTATACATTAGCTTTATAGGAATTTTATTTTTACAAAAAAAATTTTAATATTTAAGCATGTATATAATTTTTTTTTTTAGTAACTATATAGAATAAAAAATTATAAGAATTTACATGAATGATTATCTAATATTTTTTTTTTAAATTAAAGTATAATGTAGCATAATAGTAAAATAATAATGTTTTGCAATAGTAGTATTGAATAATAATAATATAATTTACATTATGTTCATTCATGAACATTCTGACGCTGAGCTGATATCGCAATTGCCAGCAGTCGCCTTCTTCTCATTGTTGCTCGAATCAAATAAATAATTATTGTTATAATTATTATAGTTGTCAAACCAAGCGCTGCGTGACCGGATGCGTGATGGAAGTGTAAATATTTTAATTTGACCCCGTTGTTTTTGATTTCTTTAATTTGTGTATGTAGCATCTCAATTTCATCTTTGTTATTTATTTGCCAATAACGCCAGGGTTTTATATTATTGATTCCGACCGCATCTGCTTCTTTTATAACCGGACTGTTTATATTCAGTATTGTAGAACTTTGCAAGTTGCTTGATGATGTTAATGTTGTTTCTTTTATGCGGGCCATACAACCTTCTTTTAATGATAATACCCCTTGTCCTGATATAGTAATTATTTCGTCTGATGTTGATGAGCATTTTATGTGTGCAGATTCTTGCTTAAAGACCTTATAAATCCAACTGTTCTTTTTGTGTAATTTGATCCAAACAGAAGAATTGCTTACTTCGTTGTAATAACAATTGTCTTGATTGGTTGGTTTTAGTGGAGATATTTCGCATGAATTATCGTTTGCATCTGTCCATGGGAAATTTCCTTCACAGGTAAATTAATTTTCTCCATTTTTATTACACTGACTCCATATTAACGGGTTCATTAAATGATAAGCATTGATTTCCAAGTTATATAATAATAGTGACGATGTAATCTTCGGAATGATGTATCTTTTTCCTTGTTTAATTGGTATAGGGATTATCTGGTATAGGGTAGATGATTGTTTATTAAACAGTGGAATCTTCGCCTTGATAATTAATTTGGTACCAAAAAATATCCCTTTTGCTTCTAAGAGTTTGTAAATAGATTCCAATTCTGTCCCAGTTTTTTTTCCAGGTAATATTAGGTTTTCCGGAATTTTGTCTCTTATTTTTATTATCTCTTCATTTAGTTGTGATGGTTTTATTAATTTTGGATTTAAATTTCCGTGATTGACATCCATTAAGAGTTGAATTACTTCTGATTGTATGTTAGAGCATTCTTCTATTAAGTCTGATAGTTGTTTTGTAACCATAAAAAAATTGATCGATTCTTTATAGACAAAATAAGTTTCATTCAAGGCGATTTTTATTGCCTCAATTTTTGTATGAATTTCATTATATTGCAGGTGTACTTCTTTTGACGTGCGCTTCAATAAATTTACTGTTGTTTCCACCACTGAAGTTTGTTTCGCTATTAATTGTTTTAAATCATGTTGATTATCTAATAGGTTATTCATGTTCTCTTCTAGAGCATTTCGATCATCTTCGTCCATCATTCCAAAAAGAAGGTGATAAAATGATCCAACAAATGCAAATGGCGCTCTTTTAGTTCTACCTTTTATTGACCATATAAATAATTTATTTCCTTCCTTTATTTCTTCCAATTTTCTGGACATTGTACTTAGAATATTTTTGCATTGTTCTGCGAAGTTTGATAATTTAGGACATATTTCATTTGCGTTACTCAGTACATCTTCTACGTTTTTTGTCATTATAAAGTATTGTTTCATATCGTAATATAATATTAAATTCCAAGCTGATATTTCTGTGTTGACTTCACCAATTGTGTCCAAGTAAAGTGCTGTCTTATCGTTAAGTTTATGTATTGAGGCCCCTGATGAATTTGTTATTGCTTTTACAGCTGGTAACATGCATAACATCAAAAAATACAAAGTAGTCCATGCTAACTTTGTACTGTCGGATTTTACCTCAGTTTTCGTATTTACATTGCAATAAACTTTTTGTGTTCCTGTTTGTTGATCACCTCGAATTGCGTTGGAATCTAGTAGAGGGCATAGTTTGTGAATTGGTCTTTTTAGTTTTCCATTCCCCGTTTTGAGTTCTACTACTCGCACCTTTCCATCCGGTCCGGCATATACTTCAGTAATTTTCCCCAATGGCCATCTAGCAGGTGCTGTATTTTCATCTTTGATGATTACTACTTGCCCTTTTTTCATATTTGGTTTTTCTTTTATCCATTTATTTCTTTGTTGAAGTGACGTCACATATTCTTTTTCCACTTCTTCCAAAAATCTGATTTCATTTTCTGTAATAGTTCCCAGCGGTTTACTAGATTTATTTTTTCTTTGATTTCTGCTTCTGGTTCGTTTAATAGTGGTCGCCCAATTAGAAAATGTCCTGGTGTCAAAACATCAATGCTATCAATTCCGCTGTTTACATAGCAGAGTGGTCTTGAGTTTAAAACTGCCTCTGTCTGATATAAAAATGTTGTCATTTCTTCAAACGTAAGCTTTGTCTCACCTATTACTCGTTTTAAATGGTATTTTGTAGATTTTACTGCTGCTTCCCAAATACCGCCGAAGTGCGGGCTTGCCGGCGGAATAAAATGCCATTCTATTTTTTCAGTTGCGAGAATTTGAACTATTGATGTATTATTTTTGATTGCATTTCCAAATTCTTTGTCTAGTCTTTTTAATGCACCAATAAAATTAGTACCATTATCTGAATATAGATGTGCACTTTTCCCACGTCTCGAAAAGAATCTTTTTAATGCAGCCATGAATGCTTCTGTTGATAAATCGCTTACTGCTTCTAAATGAATTGCTTTAGTAGACATGCATATAAATACTGAAATATAGCCTTTGAATGATTTTTGACCACGACCTTTTGAGCACTTCATATATATGGGTCCGGCATAGTCAATCCCTGTGTGTTCGAAAGGATGGGATACATTTATTCTGTGGCTTGGCATATATCCCATTATTTGTTTTCCAAAGTTTTGGCTGTATCTAATGCATTTTGTGCAATTGTTGCATATTTTTTTTATACCTTTTCTTACTCCTAAAATCCAATATTGTTGCTTTATGTGTGCTTCCATTAAATTTTGTCCTCCGTGTAATGTTGATTGATGCGCTTGATATATTATTAATTCTGCATATTGATCTCTATGTAGAATAATTGGATGCATTTGGTTATATTTAATAGTTGCGTTTTGTAGCCTGCCTCCAACTCTTAATAAGCCATTTTTATCTATAAATGGTCGTAAATGAATTAGTTTGCTAATCCTGTTAATTTCTTTGCCTTGATTAATGCTGGATATTTCAGCGGCAAAATGCGTTAATTGATGTTGTCGAATTATCTCATTTCTTGCTGTATCAAGTTCTTCTTTTGATATATGATTTGTGTCTTTGGATTTATTTTTTAGGCATTTTATAAATCTTAATACATATGCTACTATTTTTTCTAGTCTAGATATTTTTGATATTTTCTGTATTTATAAACGACTATAAAATTATTATCTGAACTTAATGTTGTTATGATGACTGCAGAACCATCTATTTGGTCATCTTTTGGCCATTCCTCTTTAGGATTTGCTAGCCATGTCGGTCCATGCCACCAGAGAGTATTATTTATTAATTTGGATGCACATATGCCTCTTGATGCTATATCGGCAGGATTTTCTTTTGTTCTTATGTGACGCCATTCTGCACTCGGAATTAAAATTTTAATTTCTGTCGCTCGTGTTCTTATGAATCTTTCTTTGTTTCTTGGTTCTTTTATCCACCATAAAGTAATCGCAGAATCGCTCCAACAATAGACCTCTGGATTATTGCCTAATATTTTAATTATTTTATTCATTAATTTTGCTAGTAAATGAGCTCCGCATAATTCTAATTTGGGAATAGTTTTTTTATTTTTTATTGGGGCTACTTTGCTTTTAGCTGTCAATAAGTTTATTTTTGAACCTATTTTAATATATATTGCTGCATCATAGGCTGCTTCAGAAGCATCTGAAAACCCGTGAAGTTCCCAATTGTCCGAACTTGATACTTCCATCCATCTTGGAATCCGAGTTTGTTCAATTATTTGTATATTTTTATTATTTTTCTCGTATTCTTTATGAATTTGTTCATCTAGAATTTCATCCCAGTCATACTTTAGTTGCCACAGTTTTTGTATAAATAATTTTGCAGTAATTGTAACTGGAGTTAGCCATCCTAATGGATCAAAAATCTTTGCGTATACTGATAACACCATTCTTTTTGTTATTCTATCATTTGTTAAGATGTTTATTGAGAATTGAAATTCATCTTCTCTTGGATTCCATTTTAATCCTAGTGTTTTTATTGAATCGTCTTCTTTTATGTTAAGTATTTTATTGCTGACTTCAATAGGTAAATTTTCCAAAATTGACTGATCATTAGACATCCATTTCCGTAATTTAAAGCCTGCACTGTTTAAACAATTAAAAATTTTATTAATTTTATCTTTACAATCTGACGTTGTATCGGCACCAGTTAGTAAATCGTCCATGTAAAAATCATTTTTAATCGTATTTTTAATATTAACATTTCCTTCATAATCTCCTGCAATTTGCTGTAGTGTTCGGACTGCTAAAAATGGAGCTGAAGCTGTTCCATATGTGACTGTAGTTAGTTTAAACTCTTCTATTTTATCTGTTTGATTCTCTCTCCAGAGAATTCGCTGATAATCTTGATGTTCTTTCGTTATTTTTATTTGTCTAAACATCTTTTCTACATCTGCTGTTACTACGAATCTCCATAACCTCCATTTTAATATAATATCAAAAATATCTTTTTGCAATCGTGGACCTGTCATCATTATGTTATTAAGACTTTTTCCATTAGATGTTTTGGCGGACGCATCAAATACTTCTCGTAATTTCGTCGTTAAACTTTCCTCTCTGATTACTGCTTGATGTGGCATGTAATATAATCCTTTATTTTGGTCTTTAGTTTTTACCATATGACCTAATTGTTCATATTCTCTCATAAATTCAACGTACTCCTTTTTTAATTTTTTATTAATATTTTTCTCCAAGCTCAATAATCTGGCTACTGCTTGCTTCCTTGAGTTACCTAATCACAAGTCTTCTTTAAAGGGGATTTGAACAATATATCTTCCATCAGTGTCTTTTATTGTAGTTGTTTTATATAGATCTAGGCACAATTCGTCGTCGGAATTAGGTTTTTCCTTTTCATTTTCTATTTCTTCTATTTCCCAAAATCTTTCTAAGTTTAAAGTTGATATAACATCATTACTAGCTGCATCTGCTAATATTTGACCAGAAATCATCCACCCAAATATGGTTTCTTGGCCTATTAGGTTATTGTATTTTTTGATGCCTTCTTTAATTATTTTTGGATAAAGGTCACTTCCTATTATCATATCAATACAACCATTCTTATTAAATTCAGGATCCGCTAGTTTATAATTGTCCCAAATTTTGGTTTCTATTTCTATTGTTTCTTCTGGCAATGATCTTACTAGATGTGACATTACTAAAAATTCCCCTTTTATCTTCTTTTTGATGCCAAACCTTGATGATATTTCCATAAAGACTCTAGCGTTTGATGTACCAACCGTTGTGTTAGATACCCCTGACAATTTGGTCATGTGTTTCATTTTTTTTAATATCAATAATTGAACTACCTTCTCAGACACCATTGATACTTGCGAACCTTGATCTACCAAGGCTCTCAATTGATGAATATTTCCATCTGATGATTTTGTGCTGATTAATACAGTTGGAAGTAAGGTTAATTGTTTCTTATCTTTTATTATTGTTGAATAAGTTTTTCCTTCTTTATTAATTTTTGGGTTGTTTCTGCTGTTTTGCTGACGTTGATTTAAATTGTATTCCATGTGTAAAAGAGAATTGTGAGCTTTATTACACTTTTTGCATTTGTGTGTAGAGTTGCATTTAATGCGATTATTATGACTCAAACATATCTCGCATAGTTGTTTATTGCGGATTAATGATGTTCGTTGTCCAATCGACATGTCCATAAATCGTTTGCAATTATACATCCGATGACCTAATTGATTACAACATTGGCATTGGATAGTATTGTTCTGAATTCTTATGTTAGTTGGTGGATTAATATAGTTTATTCTTGATGTTTTAAGGCTATTTTGGGCTTCCAGAGTTTGGAATTGTTGTTCCAGAAATTCAAATACATCTTTTAGTGTGTTTATTTCTCTTGGTTTTTTAATGTATTGTTCATATAATTGAATACCTTCTTTATCCAATTTTCTTATTATTATGTGCGCGTATAATTTGTCACAGTTAGGTTCTGCTTGTTTAGATTCAATTAGTTGAATGCATTGTTTAATTTGATCATGAGCGTCTCTTAAACTCAAAACTGATGATGAGTTAATTGTTTTCATGTCAAGTAATTTGTCAAAATTTCTTGTAAAAATTAATCTTTTGTTTTCATATCTTCTTATTAACGTATCCCACGCCGCTTCATAGTTTGCTGATGTTCCAGATAATAGATGACTAATAGTCATACGCGCATCCCCTTTAATGTGAGATCTTAAATAGTCAAGTTTCATTGAGGATGATAAATTTCGATTATTATGTACGTAATCTTTAAATAATTCTACGAAAGTTTGCCAATCTTCCTCTCTTCCGTCGAAATCGTGTAATTGTGTAATTGGTGTTATGACTTCTTTTTCAATCTTAACTTGATTTTTAGTATGATTAAATTCATCTTTGCAATCCAAAAATACTTTAGCCTGTTCCAATATCATCTCATACCTTTCATTAATATTACTTAATTGGTCTTTGTCTAATGTTGCCAATATTTGTTGTATTTTTTCATAATTTCCTTCTATTATTCGAGTTAGCACACTTCGTTTCATTGCTTCTGTTCTAAATTCTTTAATCATTTCTTCTAGTCCTTTTAGTCTTTTCATCAAATTTTCTAGTTTATCTCTAGCCATTTCCTTGTCTTTTCCTGCTTCTTCTCTCGTTATTTTGAATTCTTGTGTGGTTATTTTTGAATCTTCTGGATTGTCTATCTCTGATTCTTCTGTATTTGAAAGTAATTTTTTTTGCTTTAGTATATTTTTCTAACATATCTTTTCCTACCCCTTCGTTGAAATATGGTATATCTTCTATACCTAACTTATATAATTTTTAATCATTCTCCGAGAATGTTTTCCATATTTCTTCTAGTAATTCTAGTACTTCATTTTTTTTACTCCTTGTTACTATTCCTTCTGCCTGTTTAAATAGTTCTTCTAGTTTTTTGATCAAATTATATTGGTCTTTGATTAATTCGCTCTGTGTATTAGTTAATAGACCCATATTTTTTTTTTTTAAAGGAAAGATATTTTTTAGTTTAAATTTTTATTATTATTTTTTTTTTCTCTTCGTAATTTTTTAATTTCTCTTTTAATTTTTATTTTATCTTCTTTATTTGTTTGCAGATGCAATTCTTGGTATAATAGTGCAAACGCCTTCCTTCTTTGAAACTGCTTTCCAGCTCTTTTTGTTTTCTTCTTTATCTCCGGTTTTGGACTTGGTGGTCTTATTGGTCTTTGCCGCTTTTTATATTCTTCAATAGTTAACTTCTTTGGACCTTGATTTGCTATTACACTTGGTGTGTAATTAGAGTAGGAACCTGGCTGCTTTTGCTTGGGTATATATTCTTCAATTGTTTTGTGTTCTTCTGACACGTTTTTGATATTGTTTCGTATTGATGGATTTTTTCTATTTTTTGTCATTTAAAAAATAAAGTAAATGTTTATGTCTATTTGCTGACGACAGGTAAAAAACGCCCTGTATTCTAACCTTGATGAATTTCCCTAAATTCCTTTTTTTTTATTTTATTTTATTATATAAGCTGTTAGGATCAGCTCTTTGGTTTTAATGGCGTTCTTGAACAGCCTTAATACTTTTGAATTTTTAGTCAAGTGTCTTGCCTCGATCACTTTTAACTAATATTTTTGTTCTTGACGAAGGCTCTGAAAAATTTTGAGTTAGAGTTTGTAAGGCTCTAACAAAGTCAAGTGTCTTACCTCTGGTGGGGGATCACTATGACTTTTATATTTCAAAATTTAAAAAATTTTCCTTAGCCAATTTCCTAGGCTCGAAGGACCAAATGATTAATTTTTGAAATGAAAGAGAAATGCTTTCGCTAGAGTATCAAATTGAATACTGATTTTATTTTGAAAATTATTCTCTATTTATACAAAATTGTCTTAACATAACTTAACTACATTTACAAATAAGGGTTGAAATAATTTGTTGCCTGTTATCATTTATTTTAGTGGACTGTATAATTTTAGTTGCATTTTATTGCTGTCGCAAAGGTTCATAACAAAAGGGATACAATAAAATTCTGGCACGTAGGATTTTTATTATTTTACAATTATATTTTTATTATCGATACGGTGCCATGTATTTTAAAATGTGTTTAATACTCTACAATATCTTTAGTTTTGGGATTTTTTTATTACCCGTGTTTTTTCCTTCTTATATAATTCTAAGAATTTAAACGATAACAGACATAAAAATAACTATAAATTTAGGCATATCCTGCCAGCGTTTGAAAAAAGATACAATTTTTATTTTAATAGTTTTAGGATTGTATGTCCACCAACAACAACTAATGCAAAGTGTACTCGTAATTACGTTCTGCTAGCCACTGCAAAGGTGCGCATTATTGCAAACAATGGACGAACGTGTGATGTTCGTGCCATACTCGACTCAGGGTCTCAAGTGAACCTAGTAACCCAAAGAGTAATCAACAAGTTATCTTTAATTACCACAAATTCAAATCTATCGATCGAAGGTATTGGCCGTCAATTCGGGAACTCAAAATCTCGCGTAAATGTTGAACTGCAGGCTACTAATGGAAGCTTCAGGACGAGACTAGAGGCATTTGTATTGCCACAAATAATATCAGCACAACCGTCACGAGACCTAGATATCTCGGATTGGCAGATCCCACAGAATGTAGAATTAGCAGACCCCAGCTTTAACAGATCTGGAAGAATTGACATGTTGATTGGTGCTGAATTCTATCATACTCTACTTCAACCAGAACAATTGATAATAGGAAAGAATTCGCCACTGTTACAAAATTCGGTTCTAGGTTGGTTGGTGGTTGGTAAGACTAAAACTACAACAGATATTAAACCAACATGCGCTATTACTACAGGAGAGGTTGGTGAAATGTCAGAAATGATAGAACGATTTTGGAAGTTAGATAACATTGAGACTGCAGAAAGGGTTTTGACTTTATCTGAGAAATGGTGTGAAAATCACTTTACAAATCATGTAAAGACAAATCGCGATGGCCGTTTCATTGTACGCTTACCTTTCCGCGATGATCCCACAACACTTGGTAGATCGCGTGAGATAGCATTCAATCGATTTTGTTCTCTGGAAAGGAAGTTACAAAGGGACCCAAATTTATACAAGGAGTACATAAAGTTCATGGATGACTACGAGTCATTAGGTCACATGGAAAAGGTTTGCCCGAAAGATGTCAAAGGAGCACAATATTTCATTCCTCATCATTGTGTCTTGAAACCTGACAGCACTACAACCAAATTGAGAGTTGTCTTTGATGCATCAGCAAAAACATCAAGCGGTTTAGCACTAAATGATATTTTGCACAAAGGTCCAACAGTGCAAAGTGACCTTTTTTCAATACTGTTGCGTTTTAGAATACACCGGTTTGTATTTACGGCCGATATTGAGAAAATGTACCGGCAAATTCAAGTACATGATGAAGATACAGCACAGCAGCTGATAATCTGGAGAAAAAGTGCTGATGATAGTATACAATATTACCGACTGAAAACGGTTACATATGGAACAAAGTCAGCCCCTTATCTTGCAACAAAATGTCTTCAACACCTTGCGAAACATTGCCATATGATGCTAAACACCCAATGGTAATTCCTTACAATCACTCAATAGTGAAATTGATGTTCAAAATGAAACATGAAGAAAATTCCCATTGTGCTCCACAATTATTGCTAAGCATAATGAGACAAAACTTCTGGCCGATTAAAGGAAAGATTATGGCGCGAAACATTGTTCACAGCTGTGTCATCTGTTCAAAGGCAAAACCAAAACTGATGGACCAACTCATGGGCAACTTACCGACTGATCGAGTTACTCTGACTAAATCGTTTTTTACCACAGGAGTTGATTACTGTGGCCCGATATGGATTCATTATAAAATTAGAGGAAAAAGGCCAACAAAGGCATATTTAGCAGTATTTTGCTGTTTCGCGACTAAGGCTGTTCACCTAGAAGTGGTGAGTGACCTGACAACAGAGGCATTCATAGCCGCTATTCAACGTTTTATCAGCAGAAGAGGAAGATGCCTAACAATTTATAGTGACAATGCGACTAACTTTGTTGGGGCGAGAAACCAACTACAAGAGCTCCAGTCTACCATTTATTCAGAAAATGGTAAAGAAAAGATCATTAAGACCAGTAGTAACAAGGGAATTGATTTCAAATTCATTCCACCAAGAGCTCCTCATTTTGGAGGACTCTGGGAAGCTGCCGTCAAGTCAGCTAAACATTTAATGATTAAAGGAATTTTCAACGCTTCATTGACTTATGAAGAATTGACAACAGTCATAACTGAAATAGAAGCCATGTTAAATTCAAGGCCAATAACAAAAATGTCATCCGATCCAAATGATCTAACAGCGCTTACACCAGGACACTTTCTCATAGGCGAACCACCTACCACTAATGTAGATCCTTATCAAAAGGAGAGCCGAATGAGTTTATCATCACGATGGCGTTTAGTTTCTGAACTCAAACAAGAATTCTGGAGAAGATGGTCAAAGGAATATCTCAATGAACTCCAATCGAGGTACAAATGGAAACAACAAAAGGCAAATCTATGCCAAGGTGATTTAGTCATTATTAAAGATGATAATCTACCCATGTACAAATGGCCTCTTGGCAGGGTGCAACAGGTGTATGAAGGAGAAGATGGTTTGGTCCGTGTAGCTGACATAAAAACAGCCAATGGGATTTTTAAACGACCATTACGATCATTGGCCCCCCTACCCACTGAAGGCAGCATTAATCAAAATCCAACAAAACAAAATTCTACTGTCACACAAACAAGACGAACGAATGAACCTAGTGAAGCGTTGAAAGCGTCGAAAGATATATGATGGCACATCTTTAATGATGACCATACTTGTGACAATATTGATGATGCCATTAATACTTTCGAAACCCATTGAAGAAATATCATTTCCAAACAAACCCGGAATATATTTTGAAGGAATTGGCACCGTAAATCAAATCATTGGAAGATGGAAAATTATCACTTACTTTGAGTTCGCGCCTATTCGAAAGGAGATCGAAAGGTTTCAAAATGGCACAGCAACACTTCAGCAATTGTGCCCATTGTTACAGCAACAAGAAAGCTGTTATGAGCTCGTCCGTCAATTCAATAATACTAACATAGAATTACGAACTGAAACGAAGGTCATGACGAGACACCGATCAGCCAGAGGAGCCATCAATATAGTTGGAAATATTGCTAACAAATTATTTGGTGTTTTAGATTCAGAATATGCTGAAACGATTTCTAAAACTCTAACTCAAATCAACAATAATGAAGATGTACTATCAAAAATGATCAAAAATCAGACTACAGTCATGGACTCAACTCTAAATATATTCAGCAAAACTACAGAAGCCATTGCAGTCAAACTGAATCAACTACAAGATGAGACAAACAAAATAGTAGATCACACTAATCATAATACTAAACGTATTAACCACCTAGAGATCTATACATCACTGGTAACCCAACTTACATGGATGGCACATACATTAATGAAAATTGAAGCTGCGATATTTGATGTCTTAACTGATACTCAGCATGGCAGAATTAATTCTCTTTTGATGTCTCCACAACAACTTCAAAACCAAATCATGAAGATCAAGGGCCATTTACCTCATTCACTTCGTCTTCCATTTAATCAAGAGGATGTTATTCATTTATACACGTTGATGTCTTCACAAAGTGGAATCACACAAGATCATTTGATAGTTGTCTTACAACTGCCATTAACCGATCATGAGGATTTCGATTTATTCAATCTCGTCCCAATTCCTGCAACAGTCAACAATACAATGATGACAATAGTTCCAGAAGCTTCATTTTTAGCTGCCGCGCCACATAGAGACCAATATTTTGCCTTAACTCGTGAACAGTATAAGGAGTGTATGATTTTCAAGCAACCAGAAAACAAACTACTTTGTTCAGATAAACAATCAAAATATAACACCGGCTCACAGGTTTACGCTTGCGAATTTAACCTATTAAAAAACATATCTGACAATACGTGTAATGTGCAGGAAACAAAATCGAACATTATTTGGAGTCCCCTGTATCATGCCAATCAATGGATATTCGGGTCAAAAAACAATACAACAGTTACGGCCGTCTGTAAGGGCATCACGACTCATTTAGAACTACAAGGTGCAACACTGCTGAAATTACAAGACGACTGTGTACTCAAACACCAAACGTCTACAATTCAGACACATCAAACGCTTACCGACACCATGTATGAATCTTACATTGCATTTGGTGAGATACCTGTCATCAATAACTCAGAATTATGGTCAAAATTTAAAGGAAGTTCATTGAATCTCAGCAATGAACTTAAACAGTTAAAGCTACTTCACAATACTCTGAAAGATGAAAAATTCGCTGAATTACCACACAAACTACAGACGGACAGCATGCACCACTACGCAATTAATTCCATAACCCTAATTCTTGTCGTTGGAGCCATCATATGGATGATATGGAAAATAAAGCAGGTAAAGCGTCCAGAAGTCAATCAGCCAACACAAACTCTCACACCAAACGCGATGCCACGAACAAGATTTACTTTGGAGCCTGAAACAATTACATAGCTTCTCAAATTCTCATGATGCTACAAACTCTAAATTTTATATTTTTAAGTTTATATAATATTGTATAACTATTTATTGTTTAAAAATTATATGTGTATTTATATATCCACAAAATGTTGTAATTATTTTTTTTATTTTTTTTTTGTTGATTTTTTTAAAAAAACACACATAATGCATTGCAAATCAAATTAATCATTGCTCATAGATTCATTCTTGAATAACGTAATTCAAGCCGGGCAGAATGTTAAGTTTAACAAACCTAACATATTTTAGCTCGCTTGTAATCACGCTTATGCAGCAAATAAATATTGTAAATATTTACGTTTATAAGTTCAATAACTTCACATATTGTATTTATGCTTATGCAGCAATATGTGAAATTTAAATTATTATTTTAGTCACCAATAATTGTAATTATTATTATGCTTAGTAAGTAATTCTATACTATATAAGGTAACAATATTAATAATAAAATTTGAAAGCGAAAACAATCGTCTTTACTTCACAATCAAAAATTGGTTATTGGTAGATGTGC